GAGTATGGCTTTGCGTAGTAAAGGGAATAACAAAACAACTTTTCCGACCTTAACCATCATTCCGTCGGTATTAGCGACCATAAATGCAAAGTTAATTAAAGGATCAAATTTTTGCAGACTACAATAATGTTTAAACAAGACAAGTACAAATTTTGTTTCAAGGTACCAAGAATTCTATTTAATGACAGTAATGGTAAATTTGTTTGATTTGAGTTTTTCACAGCGGTGAATATGAAGATTTCTGTCTTCTGGGTTGTTGCGCTGTGTAGTCTGGTCGATGTTAACCAACGTTTCAGAGGTCATACTGCCTCCGTCATCAGGGCGATGAACATCTACCAAACTATACAGCGCAACAACCCAGAAAACAGAAATCTTCAATGGTAAATTTACTTACTTTCTAACATAATAATTATGTTACCCTCACAGTACTGTACCAAACACTACATCTTCTTTCAAGGACTGATTATCATTATACGTAAATATTACACTTACAAATCCAGACTTAATTCTGATAAAATGAATTCTTTAGAAATCTGATAGTTTGCAGACAAACAATCTGTTGTTATTTTTACCTGAGAGGTTGTTTCCCATCTCATAATGCGTTAGTTCTGCTGTGTGATATGAAGGATTCTTTTTAATATGGTAGCAGACCTATTCCATGTACGCGGGATTCACCCATTCCTCTAGCAGGATTCAAAAACCTTTGTCCCAGCTACTTTGTATAAAATGCACTTATTATTAACACAAACACAAACTTACTTTTAAATTATGCCATTTCTTGCGAGGCCTAAAAAACCAAAAAGGAGACTACGGTCGAGGAAGAGCGCTAATTTCTTTCACAAAATAAGATCCTGATTCGGAAATGTAATACGATTTAGTAAGTGCTAATTTCAATTCAGATAATTGCAATAAGATCATCAAATTAAATGTCGCAACACATACATACAAATTACATTCTTTTCAACTGTACTAGAGCATAATGCCAATGAAACTATATGAGTAAGTTCACAATTAAAACATTTACTTCTCAGGCAGTGTAGTAACTGTCTATCTATGAGTTGGACGACCAGATATCGATTCCCGGTAGAAGCACAGACTTCTTTGCCACCTCGCCCAGGCCGACTCTGAGGTTCACCCAGTTTTCCGTCAAATGTTTACCCTAGGTTCTTCCTCCGGGGAGTAAGGCGGGCGGAGAGAGGTGATAACTCAACCCTATTTATTTTCAAGTCTAACACAGTTTACATATGTGACTGTGAATGGTTAGAATGTAAATTTCTTATTTGCAGGTGAATGGCGAGCGTAACCCGAGCGACGTGTACAAAGATTTCCGATCCGTGGTGCTGCAGATACTGGGGATGCACGATCACGGCTTAGGGGGGCCGGTGGCGCCGGCGAATATTGCTTCGGTGCCGGTAACCGAGAAGGTCTCGGAGTCGATGCCTTACAAGGCGCCTGCTAAGGGCTTTCCGCCAGTTATCTGGGTTATAGGTGAGTAACTCGTCGGAAATACAGTAAAATAAGCCACAAGAGAGTGAAAATGTTGTTTACTTTCTTGGTGTGTTAGGTACTAAATCAATTGTGTGGTTGTTAGTTAGCTGGTTAATTGTTCCTATTTTGTCAGAGCATGTTTGTTAGTGGGTTAGTCTGTTGTACTTATTTCTAAAGCAGTGCCTCCTACCAGAATTATTATTTTAAGAAATTAAACTTACGAATGATTGGATTTAATGTTAAATGAAATAACAGCCACTTAGATTCTCGTGTTGGCAAGCAACTTGCAATTGTTTGTCGTGCGTGTGCAGGAGGTCCTGGGAGCAACAAGTCTGCCCTTTGTCAGAAGGCAGTGAGACAAGCCCCGGGCTGGGTACACTTCAGCGTGGGGAGGTTACTCCGAGCCACAGCGGAGACAACTGACCCCAGGCAGGGCAACGACTCCCACCTCGTGCGACAAGCGATATCGTCTGGAGAAATGGTGCCACAAGTACGTACGCTACGTTGCTCTAAGCGTATCGAACGGAACAGAATCATTTCTTACGTCATTTTGTTAAGTAACATATAAGGCTGAGGTACTCTGAGACTGTTAAGGCGTTTTGGAATGAGTTTATGACTCCTGAGATTTTGACATCAGTTATGATTTTAATGGCCAAAGTCTGGGTTGTAACGCCGTGTAACCTTGTTGAAGTCTATTAATATTTCAGGGAACCTATCGCTACCATCTTTAGAGCAGAAATGTTAAGTCGGCTGTATAGGAGAGGTGGCCTATCTTTCCATGTTTTTTGTCATAAAAAGACCGTTATTCAAAGTAAATACATTGGCATTTAAACAGCTGTGATTTATTCATTGTATCTCCAATTAAATGCAGGTTGCAGCAACATAGTAAAGAGATCAGTTGACATCTGGCAAATGACAAAGAATAAGGACGTAAAGACAACTCTATTTTATAACATAACCATATTATCCTATGGAATCTGGTACAATGTCTTTTCGTACTTTGCAGACGTTCGTACTGCAGCTGGTAGAGTCACAGATGACAACCAACATGAGCGCTCAGGGGATCCTCATGGACGGATTCCCCCGGGACATGAATCAAGTGTATGACTTTGAGAGCAAGGTACAGTAATACTGACTCAGATCTTTCCCAGATGTATTAAAACAGAGTTGTGCCAACGCAAAGCACATAAGTGACGCACCACGCCTTCCAATTACACAGACCTCCAAACACGACTTCAGACGTACTTATAAACGGTAAAAAAATGTTTGTCTGTCGTTTGTATGTTCTGATATACGCCCATTTACGGTTATACTTTCGATCTTGGCAAATACCGAGTATATCAATTCCGTTTCTTTAATAGTTTTGGTGTTAAAAATGGAGGTCATGTTACAGAGTGTGTATTTTAAATGGTAAATTTAAGTAGTAAATTTTCTCCTCCATTAATAAGATAATTTGTCCTAATTTAAACTGCTGTCACCTGTCTAGAATTGTATATATTTCAAACGAAGATATAAATGTTTTCATATAAAATCTGTAGATACGTTTATAAAATCTCAAGATACAAATTTAGTACGTTAGAATTATTCATCACCAAACAAAAATATTTCTGCAGAGTAAACCTTATATTCAAATATCTTCTTTCGCTGTAATTTTTAATAGAAATTTTTCTTCCCACTTTTAACTTCTCAAAACATTTTGACGCTAAAGATACATAACTGTTTATACTATCATGGAAGTCATAATACGATAAAATGAGCTGGCCTTAAAGGGATTAACCGTCTGTGGGTATGTTGGCCTATTTTAGTTCAAGCAACAGCCAATCGTCATTCTGCTGGACTGCTCGAAACTGCAGCTGGGTAGAGGGCGCCTTGACGACAGCGTTGCAGCTTTTCGACGTCGTTTGGAGTTGTTCCGTGAGCTCTCGCTGCCAATGCTGAAGACCCTGGACAACGAGAATCGCCTCACCATAGTAGATGGAGACACAGACACACCAATAGTTCAAGAAGACTTCAACCGCGTAGTGTTACAGCAGATTGAGCACTTGAAACGGACTGGAGGAATGATTGTCCCTAGACAGCCTTTGCCAAAACAACAGCAGCAGCCTTTTCCTCCACTCGCAAATGGAACAAATCCCATGGTACCACTTGCTGGCGGACAATATGATGCCACGATACAGGACCTCGAGTCGGATGATGGGCGAGTTGGCAATCCGATGAAACCAAACGGGGTACCCGTCAACACCATCAGCAGACAAGTAGCCACCGCTGCTATTCATCACGTAAGTGGGCAACAGATAACAAACGGGAATTTAAGGGCTGCGATACCGAACGGGATTACTGGGGCCGCAGGACAAATGCCTGTGATAAACAATATGATGGAGTATACAAACATCAACGGACCAAATGTGCCAGGGGGAAGACCGTCCAGAGATACCATCAGAGACATGTATGCGAACGTGGAGAGTTATCCCATGGACTCTCACCTGTGATGGCGCAAACATGATGTGCTACGAAGCAGTAAACTGAAGTGAGGTTCTATTGCACCAGGACTGCAACTCATATGTCCCTAAGAGACTATATAGAATCAGTGTCGACAACCAAACAGGAAAGACCTGGAAAAATAGCTTTGGTGCTATGGTTATGAAGTGACGCCAGTCCAAGTGCAACACCTACAAAACTGAAGAGTAATGTCTTCTTTGATTGGATATACTGGATAAGATTAAAATATTACACAGGAATAGGCCTACCCTCTCGTCGTCATATGCATTAAGGGCTAACAAGATGAAAACGCAACAAATTATGGAAAAGAAATCCAGCCACATAGCAAGAGTAAAACAAAATTCTGGAATGGTTCAGTGGTTAAAGTAAACTCGATATTGGTGATATAAGTGATTTCATTGTTTGATAACAGCAGCATTTTACTACGACTGTCTGACAGAACAGTGTTACAGAAGACTAACTTGACAGCGTTTGTGAACCATTGTGCTCACAGCAGGGAGAATACGAAAAATACGAAAAGTAGAAGTTCGTCTCAACATGTGGGCAGCCTGTCCACGAACAGAGAGGCCGACATAGGATTTCGGCATACTATATACTAATGTTCATTATATTTCGGACGGATTGTATGTTCTGTGAGTGTATTCCAAGTAAAGATAACATTCACTCTCACACGGATGTAATTCACAGTGGAATGAATGTTTCACAATAATTTCAATTATGAGTATCAATTAACAGCGACCAGTCCTCTAAATAATTTCAAAAATGTTCTTAAAGTACGTGTACAAACATTCATTCTAGAATGCACCGACTGTGAATGTGTAATTTACTTAACCATGCTGTTCAAAATTCATTTTAAATATTATATTACGTAAAGATGATAATTTATACAAGAATCAGTTAACATATGCACCCATATACAGGTTTTCCAAAACAAGTTTTAAATATTACTTAAAATAGGCTGTCAAAAAGATATGCTTTCTCGTTCTTATGTTGTGTAATATTGTTATAAATGCGACTATGTGTTCTGATACTCTTAAACTCTTTCAAAATATCTTAGAAATGTCTTTATGTTCATTTTTCCGAAGATATATAAATGATCTGCAAGTATCTCGAACGACGCCTAAATTTTAAGGATTAAAGTTAATTATGACGAACAGGCTGTTATTATAAATTTCGGATAAGAAGACAATTAAAAATTATATCTTTCATTCGTGACAAAACTTGAAAACTTTGATCCATCTTCGCTTCATGTCACTTTATTTCAGCATTTAATTTTTCAAGTCCCATCCAATAAAAGCTTCTTGATAACGCAATGCAGTTTTAGCGTTTCTGTTGTAAATTTAACGTTACAGGGACCACGACTTACAAATTGATGAAGATGTGAAAATGATTTTTATAAAGGAAAATTACAACAAACCTACGGGATATCTTATTTATATAATAAATACATTAGCTGAATTCGGAAGAATATGTTTCTACGTTTAAACGATCCATTATAATGGTACGTTCGTCAAAATTCACATAACGTGGAAATTAATTATTTTATAAAGTCTGGGCTCAATGATTTCAGAACATTATACTGATGACATTTCAATTTTTGGTATTAACTTTTATTTGAAACAGTTTCCTTACTTTAACTGCTGCGTTTTTACAATTGTGCTACGAATAATAATCTAAAAATATCACCTAAATTCCTCCGCGGTGATAAAAATAACTTGGCACAGATCTCAGTAAATGACACAAAGCGCTCATTAAAATAAAACATAATAACTCGGTTCCTACCTCAAAGAAAACAACGCGTCTCCATTACAAATATTTATTTACTAATGATGTTTAGGGAAATAATTTTGTTTGCTGGCAAACACACGAAACACACAATACGTTCTCTGTAAATAATTCGGAGCTACTTAATATTAAAAGAGGCGGTACAAATAGATACCACTGTGCCTTAAAGAGGTAAACTTACTTCTGACTGCACATATAACTGTTTAAATTGTGAGAAAGTGTTAAACTACTGCTGAATTACTGCTCGCCATTTGATAAAACTAAACTTCCTCTGGTAACAAACGCATTTTCAAAATCTGCAGACCTCCTACAGACTCTGAGTCGCCATATGGATATACACCTCTCTTATGTTGAACACTGTCTATTGTTTGAGGTGTATTAGACATAGACCTTTACACTGTTTAGCAATCTGACTGTACTAACGTCTTCAAGCGACTGGTTATTATACTAATCTTCAAAAAAAAAGCTGTCAGTATAATAAGATCAAATGACCTGAGAATCGGAACAGAGCCAACTCTGAAAATAAAACGAGTGTCAAATATACATCAGACAATGGACAATGTCTAACGTGATATTCGAATACTTTCACAGACATTTACAGAATCATCACCCAGATGGGATTAATAACTTAAATTAAGTACACGTCGAATGTGGTACATCTTCATCGTACAAAATAAAATACTGATGACATTTAACGCATAGACCAAATTATGGTTGCTTACAGATATAAAGACCGACCTCTTCTCAAAATCTGAACGCGTCACATTAAGAGATAACAATATTCATCGCTTACACTTTCTGAATCACCAAAAACAGAGTATATCAATCCGTCCTTTTCAAATATCTGCCACAATTTGGGACCAGTATCTTAACAAGAGCAATTTTTTCACTCAGAACATCAAATGCTGCACTGTTAACTTAAATGATTAGTTTAAGCAAGACGCTAAATAAACGTTTTATTTCTGGGAAACTTTGATTTACTTTGCCTGTTGTTTATCTTTGATTTTTGTAAAAGTTGTTTCGATATATTGTTCTGTATATGTAACTAATAAATATAAATGAATTTATAATTATGTACTAATAATTGGTATGTTAATGATTCTAACTGTAAGCCAGATTTTTAGGTGCGTCACTGATTTTCTGACTGTACTGTAATCATGATATATGCTAAATTGTAAGAATGAATTTCAAGAACACTAAGACATAAGAGGCCTAGCAGAGGATGTGCGTTTTAAAGTAAAATAAAAATCCTACAAAATCAAAATGACAGAGTGTGTCGTAAATAATCTTCAGTCTCTGATATATCATTCAGTAATGTCTCTGCCTGGCGGTATAATTCCTTAGAAACCACTCACAATTTTCAGCGTTTACATTGCCTACATGAAAAAAATTGATGTACGCTACGCGAATTTCACTTTCCGAATTCTAAAACAGATAACACGAGACAATTTTAAACGCCTATATTACGTTTGACTTGTATTTTAGACAGTTCCGATTAACAAAGAAGGATAATATTCTATTCGAAATTCTACCACACTCTAGCAAATATTCACTACAACGGGAATGGTCTTACTGCAATCGGCTATCCAAATTGAAACCTTGGAAAGGATTCCAAGACTCCTAAATGTATAAGGAATTACGAACTTTCACAATCCGACGATCCACCGTCGGTGCTACAAGTTCCCCGAGACTCACAACATAGGACAACTCTCCTCATAAACCCACATACAATGGCCACGACATTACGTGCATATGCTAAAACAACTTACCGTCGAAGAGGACGAAATCCTTGTGGTCTCCCAATACCCGAGACAATTTATATCATCCAAAAGCCGACGTGGTTCATCCCTAAAAATAGAAATTATACATCAAACACCAGGCTTTAAAACCTAAGGACGAAATTTATATAATAATTATAAACAGTAGTTTTTTAATTTTTATAAATACAAAGTGTAAGTAAGAATGCATGTTTAGACAAAACTGGTTGACAAATGAAGATTTCTGTCTTTTGGGTTGTTGCGCCGTGTAGTATGGTAGATGTTTACCAACGTTTCAGAGGTTGGAATCGCCCTGATGAAGGAGGTAGTATGACCTCTGAAACGTTGGTTAACATCGACCAGACTACACAGCGCAACAACCCAGAAGACAGAAATATTCATACTCACCGCTGTGAAAACTTCAAATCTTACATGGTTGATAAATATTAAGCTGTTGAAAAAGTCAGGCTGTTATATGCAGTAATTCATAATCAAATTAAATAGATACATAATGGCGAATGTAAACTATGTAAGTGATACTTGAGGTTCTCACGGCGGCAAGTATGAAGATGACTGTGTTCTGAGTTGTTGCGCCGTGTATTTTGGTAGAAGTTTAACGAAGTTTCAACAATCCAAAAGACAGCCATCTTCATATATAATACAAATCGGAAGTTTAATATAGCACAGTAAATTAAAAAAGATAAAGAACGAAGAGTCCAGTATGTAATGCGGATCCAAACATAACTGTTTTATGCAATTGTGTTCAGTCATTAGGATTTAATTACTGTACGACAATTATAATCGTCAATGTCGATTTATAATTTTATCCGAGTTCTAGGAAGCAAATAGGGGAGACCAGGACAGAACGGGGAACTTAATCTTTGGAGGCATGTGGGAGGGACGATAATAAGGATAAACACATGGAGGAACCTTGTGTGGATTTATTGTCTATTTGAAATTTATAAGTTATTAGTTTAGTTATAAGAGTTACAGTTTTTTAAATATTAATTTCTTTACAAGAATGTAACTTGCCCCATTTTTCCCCGTGCCCGGAACAAGACGGAGTATTGTTAATATATGTCTGAAACGTTAGTTAACCACATAATTTGTATTCAGGGCATCCCGGGCTTGGCTCTAAACCGGACACCACCTAACCAAAAATATGGAACATGTGTACCATCTATCATGTTTAAAAGCAGCTAAGATTCTGAGTCGTCCAAACATTGCCCGAAATACCATTGGATTACACAACCAGCTCGAAAAAAAGGGGCGAGTGTGGGAGTCTCCAAAACGTGTTCAACGGTTTGCAGCTGTGTTTTGGCTGGGTTTTCTGTCCCAACGCCAGAGTGAGGAGGATGAAAGCAGTGGCTGTCGTGTTTTGCGCAAGCGACGTATTGATCTTATCCGTCCACCAGCAGCAGAGCCAGTCTGAGAAACCCGTGGCATTGTTGTCCTGATCGGTGTTATCGTATCGTCGTTTGTACCGTGTGATCGTCATTGACTTTGTCGTTGTGCTTCCGGAGCGATACGTCAAGACTGAAGTTAAAAGGATTATTTGTTTCTCTTCTTGTTTTATGCACTTTCACATTCCAGGTGATAACGCAGTCACTAGACTCCTGCCTTAAGGGTTTCCTTACACTGCATATTTTTTTAACTGGATTCCGGATATGGGTAACTCCGTCACTTATACCCGCACCCTGCAAGAGCCCACACACTACACAGCTGTAAATCCAAAATCCGTGCCGGCTGTTATACCCGTACATGGTAGCTACGTAGTCTTATCGGCATGGACTTGCCCGTATCTGGAAAGAGGTTAGAAGAGAATTTGGTGTACAGAAGCCCTAAAGGCGTATGCACCTATCCATCCACCCTCACCATACGGTAATCAGTGTGCAATATGCATCCCTGTAGCACTTGCTACACGCTAGTAACAGCACAAATCGAATCCTAACACTGTGAGCAATGATTGGGTTTCATTTAATCTTTAAATGGTATAACATCGCTTGAGGTTTTATATTTGGCGCTGTTTCCTTTAACATAGTGCATGGCGAAAAGTAGCAAACTAAGAAGTGGCCTGTTTTACGTAATTACCGACTTGCCTACTTTCTGTCTGGATGAGGTGCGTTAAGTCAAGTTTTGTTGTTTACACTTGAAAGTGTCGAAATTAAAATTATTATATAATACACTAGCTACACTTATCTTTAAATTTATAGTCAAATAATTCGCAGAAATTCAGTGCTTCTGCTATGTAGGCTGATAAGTCTGTTAAAGTTTTAAAATATAATTAAGACAAATTTTAAATAATTAAGTTATTGCTCTGTAACAATAACCGACCATCGCCAATAATAGACAAAACATTTTACCACAGCAACTAAGAAATTATGGAATCATCAGGAAATAAAATTCAAATGCTCAATTCCAATCCCCATCGAACTCATCAGAGATTTCATAACATCTCACATTTTAAGTTTACACTTATGGTGCTTGGCCGTGTTTAATTACATATAAAAGAAACGTGTTCTGGGACATGAAGTAACACATGCCATTCAATATTCAATCACCAGTGTTTACATCTTTATAGATTACAATTTATATTTCTAACAGAAAATAAGACGCAGCCACATATCGGCCATAGATTCACGACATTTCAATCGATAAGATAGGTGCGTAATTTTGGACGAATACAGATAGTAGGCTTATTGTCAGACTCTGCTTATTTGTGATAAATTTTTGTACGTGAAGAACATTTTATATCATAAAATATTTTGTCTGCGGTACCTGATTACTCGGTTGTTCGCTTATTTCCTTACTGTACAAGAAAAGGAACAGGTGTTATATGTGAGCAAGTATTTACCCTTTGATAACAGACAGAACACTAAATAATAATAAATAATAATAACAGACCGCAATTTAAAACGAAGTTTAAAACTTCTTCATTCCATATTTCCCCATTGCCTCTGATACGAAGGACATCCTAACTTGAAATATGGTGTCATTCAACATACTTTGAAAGTCTGTACGGCGATGAAATAGCTTTCGTGTACCGAAAATAAAAATATGGCAGGACATAAAATAACGAGTTCACATTTGACGAGTGGAGTTAATACTTGACTTAAAACGAAATTTTGGGGCAATGAAATTAATTTACTAAATGATATGTACCTTCAAATTATAAATTTTAGTAAGCCTCATATTCGGAGGTCAGATCTAAACAAAAATTGAAATAATTACTGTTAACGTATATTTAATTTCTCATGTACTATTACGTTTCAGTCGTACATGATATAATAACGAGACGTACGCTTATTACAAACCAGAGTTTAAGGCAGTTTCAGGTTGCAATCCGTCTTTCAAAACTGAGGCAAGATGAGGTCAGACCATCAACAAATTTAATAAAAAAAACACATTGTCCTATCATTATAGCATATGCCAGACACGATAAATGCACGTATTTAAATATGTAATTGTTTAATTGTTATTATTATAAATATTTATTGTATTTTAATACTTCACGTTAAATCGAAAACTTTTCCATTTGAAGCATACGATGGAAGGAGACCATACATTTGACTGGTAACCACCTACAAGACTACACCGCTTTATAACCGGAGCGTCCATAATAATCAATACGAGATTAAACAAGTTGCCTACACGTAGAGAAATCTCCAGAAAGACACGAATCATAAAGTAGGAAATATGCTCTCAGGAATCGATTCTTTGTCATTTAAAAATGTATTATGTTAAAACGTCGTCGGAAAATGAAAGGTTGCATTCGGCAGGTCGATCGGGGTAGTCACACTGGGTCAAGGTCACAATACATTCGGCGCATCGACTCTCGTAGCACGTCTATATTTCTTTAGTTAATCAACTCCTACATAAAACGACCAATAAATTCTAATAAATATAACCGTGTGAAGGCGTACTTCAAAGTTTGTGGTTAAAAATTAGTCTGCTATCTCAGAAGAGTCAATTTTGTACAGGCTTACCAATAAAAAGACACAAAATATCTCCAAGTACAAGTATTAAGCCAAACTTATGGAGCAGGTTAGTGTAACAATAACGTTCTTTGTGATGTACCGAGTTTGAATCTCAAACAGGCTACAGAATATCCCGACTTTGATTTTAGTAATTTTTCTCACAATATTCAAATTGGCCGTGACTGCCCCAATATAAATCCTCATCTGCTCATTTTCCGTTATATTTCCATCTTTACAACCAGTTCAGTCGAATAAAAGTCTTCGTGTGTAAACAATTTGCGCTCTATGGTAACCGTGTATGCCATGTAAATTGATATTCATGTAATTATTTCTTCGTTAATGTATTTACCACGAACTATTTTAATCATTAACCCACGTAAAATATATTTTGTTGTGATTATTCAGCGAGAAAAGGGAAATACACTGGCATCATCTTTTGAAAGTAATCACGGATGGACAGACAAAGACAACTTCCTCATAACGAATTTGCTTCATATGAAGAAAAAGTTTACAAATGTTCAAGGATCGAACTCGGACCGCTAAACGTGTAGCCACTGTCTTTACTAAGCTAATATGACTCAAGGCACTATTTACTACTCTGACTTAAATTAAATCTGATCAATTAGCGGAAGCCGGATGAAAAATCCGTCAGTTCCTCAGGATAAGTCTGCAGATAAATTTTCTGGCCGAGGTTCACATTTTTAATTCACGTGTTCACAGACGTTTCGCACCACGTTGCGGCAATCTGCAAGAATTTCACTTTCGTTCATGTGCTACAACACGTGTAAGAATACGTTACGTACATATGCAACTTGCATTCTTGGCATATCTCTGTTGCAACACACAGCAGGCACATTACGTCAAACCGTGACAAGCTTCGCGTATTTCTACTCATTGTTCTGAAACGACATTAATGTAGGGACATTTTTCTCGAGGCTTGCTAACGTATAAGTCAGCATTTCAGCTTCAAATTCTCCAGACATCGTGGCCTAATTTAAGAACCTATATCAGAATGATATGGAAAGGCCGAGGAAAACCACGAAAAAAAACCAGTCAAGACAGCCGGTATCCGGGCAGACGACTGAAACTGCGACTTTCAGAATGCGAAGCAGAAGTTTAATTATTTGGCCGTGTCTTACGGCTGGAACAATCTTTCCCAATAAACACACACAAACATGCCATTCTTGGTTAAGTGAAAGAGAAAGTTTCCAGCATTAAATTTACAAGAAAATGACAAAATTTGCTACAAACCACGACATTATAATGAACAACGGACGGACTTACGTACTACACAACTCAGTAGTTCATTGTAAGTTTTTAAATCATTTGAATTCCCCTCCCCACAAATTAAACCTCGAAACTTGTCCTCAACAGCAGGTTTTCTTTTTGGTTTTTGTCAAACCTCAGGTTTTCGATGCATGTCATTTGCCCCCAATTGCTAAATTAGTTGTATCAACAGCACGGTCTAAAATTATGCACTCAGCTCAAGAGCCTGTATCACGATTCCCTCCTGCCTGGGTCCCAGCCATGCTCTGGCTCTATAGACCCAGCGCTCTTACGACATTCTTGGTTCATTATTTCGATAGTGCGTACCTCAGCTTGCCAGTGAGGGAGGCCTCTCGCTCAGCCTTGAAACAATCAAGCGTTTTAGTTCGCGAGCTTGCCAACTTACACTGCAAATTTAGCTCACACACCCTGCCGTCATATAAACTTTATTTTTACTGGTATTTTCCTTCTGTGTTGTGCATATTCAAAAACGAGCCCTCGAGTTTCTAGGATCAGTGCACATTGCCGCTCGGAAAGCAAAAGGTTAAAATTGTTCGCCAAGAAATTCGAAAACGACTAAATAAATCATGGTAAGTGTTCATGCTGTTTAAATAGTTTACGTTTAAAAATAAATAACAGGCTTTATTTAAAGAAAAACGTTTAAATACGATGTGTGATGTGTTTTATAGTGCCATAGGCCAATAGCAATCGGTGCGAAAAATACCTGCCCTTGACTACTTGCATACGAAAGACAACTGCATCAAAGGTGGGCATGTTTACGTATATGCACGGTCTGTAAGGTTCAAGAAATATGCAACACGTAGGCCTGTTAATTTTTAAAGTGCCGTAAATCAAAATATAGACGTTTCCAGACCAATGTATATTTGCATTTTGTACATGTTTATGGTCATGCAACCTACGAAATTTATGAAAGGTAATACTGAATCATCTTTAATATTAACAAAATTAATTTAAAATGAATTGCTTGCATTATTTTTATCCTTGAAACCTGATTTATCGATACATTTCTTTCGGAAACCATATTACTCACCACTGTACACGGATGTTAAAAACACCTGATACTTTATGGACCAAGTTGTAGTTCTGTTAAAATATAGACGATAGATAGATAAAGTTCAGAATACGGTTTTACAAATAAAAATGGACCATTGTCAAAAACCTTTACACTTTAACACTAACGATATATTTAAACACGAGAAGGTTAATAACATCTGAAAGACGGAAGCGTGTTTCCACTTTGAGTTACATATATTAAAAGATAAAAGTGTGCAAATTATTTACATGCACGATCATTGTAACCAAAATAGTGTTTATAAAAACTATGTGAATAGTGTCATTGAATAAACACCCATGTCCCGATTCTTAAGAGTGACAAATGTTTATTCGTGGAAATCACTTCACAGCAAAAAAGAGGTGCAAACAAGTGATCCGGGGTTACACTCGTAGAAATTGGAAATTTAACAAAACCTCGACCATACTTGCATAACAACGAAAAATCTGTCTTTCGTATTTCCAGCACTACAAATGTGTTTCTCAGATTAGGAACCCAGAAATACGGGTCTTTTCATTACTTCTAATTTTAGCAGTTTTCCAAACCATGAATTTGATAACGAAAAAATATCCCCCCGAAAAGCCGATGTTGTTTATTTATGTTAGAATGTTTGAAAATTAGTTTTATAATTTATAGCATAAACTTAAAAATAACTCACACTAAATAAGCAGACAGGACAAGTCTACTAATTACTGCTAACTAACAGATAGCCTTCATTAACTTGTATGAGCATTATACGTTTAGTTTGTCAGCATGTGTGTGTACACAAACGTATCTACTAACAACATCTCTAAGTCGGCTACCACATTATATCTTAAAACGAAATGTGTCCCGATTTAAAGTCCCTCTGTCGTGTAACAAAATGTCTCCTGTATTTTCAAAGGATGCCGAGTATATATGTAAATGAGTGGGGTCCATGGTGACCCTTGCACAGCGACCACTAGTCTCTTGTGCATCCCCGTGTTTCTAATGATCTAGTAGCTTACGCTAGTAGTTAAGCAGTGTCCTACTTAACGGAACCTCATGATAGTCGCCAGATTTCAGGAAAAATCTGCCGAAGTGGTGAAATCAAAATTATGACGCCGAGTGGCCTTGTAGGTTGCTACCAACGTTTCGAAGGGGCATACTGCTTTCTTTTGCAGAGTATAATATGAGGAGGGACAGAATTTTCTTAATACAAAAGCATACGGTGCCATAGCTCTGAAGACGACAATCCAAAATTTAATTTATTGTTCAGCAGTTGTGTATAGCCTAAACCTACTTATAACCTTACCAGAGATACTTTAAAAACAGCTGATTTTCTCATCTCACCTAACTTATTGTTGGTGAATAAAAAGCTGAATTTATGGGCAATATTCAAACAAACAAAAACAATACTATGTTCATTGTTGTTATTCGCACGTGTTTAAACCTTGTTCGTCAAGACTGATCAGTTTATTCGAAGCTAAATAAACTGTAATTTAATACAGTTCAGTTGTTACTAGGTCGTAGAATACCTCAACAGAGTTAATACAGATGTCACTATTTACAGGCTGCTGAGCTAGAGAAGAAGGAATATGACTTAGCTCCACTCAAAGAATCAAAATTGCCTATCATATGGGTACTAGGTAAGTTATCACGCATATCGTCATCATATTGACAACGTAGGTGTACATGATATTTCTTAGTTCATTGTTAATATTCGGTAAATTTCTCGTTTAGTTCAGTTTAAAAAGTGTGACGTCTTTCTAAATATTCTGCTCAACAACTGAATCCTATGGCTCACATCACAGGGGGACCGGGGTCTGGCAAGGGCACACAATGTGACAAGATCGTGGCGAAGTACGGCTACACCCACCTGTCGACAGGAGATCTGCTGAGAAACGAAGTGCAGTCCGGTTCCGAGCGAGGAAAGAAACTAAATGCGATTATGGAGCAAGGCGAACTCGTACCGTTGGTATGTGATCGTTCTGCAATTAAGAGTTTCATTCAGAACCCCTTCAAATATCATTATTATAAACTAACTGGTGTGATAAATATACAACTCGTTACTTCTCATGACTTAATTGTATGCTGTAACACAATTAATTTAAGTGTTATATGATATTTCCAAACCGATTAAGTTGTCTTTACGTTCAATAAAAGTTTATAATAGATTATTATTCTTCAGCTACCACGGATTAGCCTCAATCTGGCCTCGTCAGATTCAGAATTTATTTTGAAGCAACTTATCATTTATGGTTGTGACGCCGTGTGGCCTTGTAGGTGGTTACCGACGTTTCGGTTGAACACATCGCCTTCATCTTCATATATATTAATGAAGTTTACATGTTCTTACCTCGGAGGAAAAGTGCCCAGGTAATGTAGCCACCACTCACCTCATTCTAATGTAGAGGTTAAGAATGCATGGAGTTATAACTCCACTTCGTCAGTAATCAACAATTATAAATATAGTAGTAGAGGCAAATGTTAAACACACGCACAGTAAACTACATTTCACAATAAAAATTAATTCTGTAATGTTTCCAGCGCATCTGTTAATCGGCTAAAGTAATCGACGATTAAAAAATCAACTGATTAATCCATCTTCGGGATATAAATGAAAAGGAGGTGACACATACTATGAAATGGTGGTTACCACCTATGAGACTACATGGTGTCACAGTCCAGAAGCCACAATCCGCCTTTTCACCGTCGTGAAAACCTTAAGTCTTGACAATTCGACAGATTAGTTTTAAAAATTGTAATTGTCGTTTGGAACATACTATACTCAAATTTATCCAGTTGAAATAATTAATTACCCCTCCAAAGTAAGGATCAGATACTAATATTAAGTTAAAGTAATGTCGTATTAATATGTTATTAATAATTTCCGAACAGTTATGGTTAATAAATTGTGGATGTCATTCAGAAAAGACGAAGCACGCCAAAAGACTATCTCCTTGAAGCCGAAACGAAAAGAAAGTCGCAAGACTCTGTTCTTCCAAAAACGGCACATGTGTAGTCACCACATTCTGATTTTATTTTATAATATTTTTGTATCGTTTAACCTGTAAATATAATCCTCAACTGTGCACCAACTGACAAGCAATGGACCATCTTAACTGGACAATCACTAGAGTGGAGGTATTTATAGTTATATCTCCCTATTATATGCAGTGAACTGAGCACATTTCACGTGACATACCTAGATGTCCCATCCTTCGGCAGCAAACTAATTTAAATATATTTTCACTTCGTATACTGTATCCAAACTGCGTACTTTTACAGGATTCAGTACTGGGTCTGCTCGCGGAAGCTTTGCTTGCCAATGTGACGTCATCTAAAGGGTTCCTTATCGACGGCTACCCACGAGAACTTGAACAGGGCCTCACATTCGAAGAGCAAGTAAGTGATGTCTTCACTAGTTGACAAACCATTAGCTTCTCAAGAAGGGCTCTGCGGCCTTGCGAGGGGCTGATCACTCGTCCAAAGAGTCACATCAAATGTCTAAATAGATCAAGTAACCTCCCATATGGGAGGATGCCAAGACCCGTCAAAGGATGTAGAGCCACAAATAATAAACGAAGGACTCTGATGCACGTAGTTGGCTGGTCGTTAGTTAATAACTAAAAGATTGCTGTCTTCTGGGTTGTTGCGCCGTATAGTCTGGTAGAAATTTACCGACGTTTCAGAGGTCCTTGCTGCCTCCATCCATAGGCAGCAAGGACCTCTGAAACGTCGGTAAACTTCTACCAGACTACACGGCACAAGAACCCAGAAAACAGCAATTTTCAGACTCACCGCCGTGAAAACCTAAAATCTTACATAGTTATTATTTAGTTACTCAGTCAGTCAGTCAGTCATGTAGTTAGATAACTTCAGGAATAGGACTTGAAATAGGTCAGGACTGAACCATGCCCTACCCTCAACATTCTATAAGGATTCAAGTGTTTCACATTTACGTGCAGAAGCTATAACTACTAGGCCTTGTGTTACAATACTGTGGAATCAATCGTACGAAAATCGGTGAGTAGAATTACTTCACAAATTCACGTTTCTAACCAGGTTAAAGTTAAACTCTTATGTTCTCATCTGTTTTGCTTTCAGATTGCTGAGTGCACAGTAATATTAAATTTCGACGTTAGCCCCGAAACAATGACGAAACGTCTACTTCATCGAGCGCAAACTTCGGGGCGGGTAGACGATAACGAGGAGACCATAAAGAAACGCCTGGACACGTTCAGCAAGCACAGCAAGCCCGTCATTGAACACTTCTTCAGCAAGTGTAAGACGGTGAGTGAGCTGTCCGACGAGGGACTGTTTGATATATTGCAGACTATTCCACGAGCGCAGCGTTCATGTTGGCTCTGTTAGCCGGGCTAACACTTTGAAAAACGAAGAATAAAAAGTTTTCTGTCTTACTTCAGTGTTTCAGTGGTACTCCATACACTGGAACACAGCAGAAATATTCAGATAAAATTCATCGCTAGCCGGCTAGAGTCAGGCGCTCGTCGCGAGCGTAGACTCAACTAACTGACTAACAACGCCTGGCTGGTTAGAACCGGCTAATCATGCATCGTGCCTCGTCGATTCTGCTGTGTTCCATTACAAGAGTACCACTGAACAGCGAAATAAAGACGTAAGACTATTTACGTCTTTTTTCAAGGGGTTAGCCTGGTTAACACGGTTAAAATGAGCGCTCCGCCCCTGTATTATTTCCTTCGGTTTCCTTCCTGTTCCATACCCCTATCTTCTTTGGGTTTTTATTTCAAGTTTCGCTGGTCCACTGAGACATGTTCGCAAAAGAAGGGATTTTAAGAGAATGGTTACACGATAGTGTCACAAGGAACGTAAGGAACATCCACCATTAACATTTCATCCCAACAGACGTAAAAGTGACTGAAATGAGGCAAATATTGTTCACGCAAAACTGATAATTTTATGTAATGACTGGAAATGGTATCAAACGATTCTACTTCAAATCTTTACTTGAAATTGATATTAACAATCTGAGCTCAGTATAGGCAACTGGCTCGCATTCAAGTGTCTGGGCATTTCCTC